TTCCCTCCGCCCGGCCGCCGCGCGGGGTGCGAGGTGCAGGGTGCGTGCTGGACGCCGGCCTGAGCGACTGCCCGCCCTCTGCGGGACCGCGGGAAGGCGCGCGCCCCAGTTTAGCCCCACACCCGCCCGCCGAGGCCTGAGCTCTGGCCCTTGCGACCCTCTCCAGGTCCGCTGTCCCCGCTCCCCGCAAATGGCCACCCTTCTTTGGGCTGAAGCACTCTGGTCGCGGGGCCCTGCCTCTGGGGCTCCCCCTGGGCACAAGCTTGGCTCTCAGGTCGTCCCTTGGTCCCCTGCCCCTTCGTGCACCCGCTCTCCATTGCCAGCGGGCCTATCCCTGGTTCTCTCCTCTCCTTGGGGTCCTACTGATCCCTGCCCAGCTGGGCGCTGGGCAGCAGACCTGGGTCAGCCTGCGACCCGCAAGCCTGGGAGGGAGCTTGCCTGGGCTGTCCAGAGCCCCCCCCCACCCTCTCTGTCTGCAGGGGCAGGAGCCCCTGATGAGGTGCCCTGAGGACCCTCATGGTGGGGTGGAGCCAGTAGAGGTCACGTGGGCATGGAGGGAGTGGGCCAGGGTGTGGGACCTGGTGGCCCGGGTCACTGCCGGGGGCTGGCACTGTGCAGCCCAGGCGATGGCCCCTTCTGCTCTTTGCCAGCACCTCATCGTTTTCCCTCCAATCACCCCCGGACTGCAGTGACAGCTGAGTCCTTGCGAGACTGCAGCAGTTGTTTGCAGGTTTCTTCCTCTTCGGTGTTCCCCTTCGGAGTTCCCCGCAGCTACTGGGCAGGTACACCGACTGTGTGCGTCACCCGCAGCACCGGGACAGTCCGCAGGCCAGCCCACCCCTCCCTGCCCCGGGAGCTGCGCACACGGTGCCCGGGGACAGCTGTGGGCGGGACACCTGCAGGAGCCCGCCCTGGGAAAAGCAGCACGGCCAAGCCTCTGCCCGTCAGCCGTGTTCAGGGGCAGAGCAGCTGCAGGGCCATGCTGAGCCGGGGTGGCCTGTGCTCGCTTCAGAGCTGCTGGGAAGGGGAGGCGGACTGGCAGGGTCTTTAGGGGACAGGGGAAGGTGTGGATGGAAGTGGGGAGTGTGTGGCCACCTGCTCCTGCCCTGTGGTCTCCCGTGCCACGGAGAGGCCGTGCACAGGGCTCAGGACAGCAGGTGTGGTGCC